CAATTAAAGTAACAAAAATATATAAATTTATTAACAAGATACAACTAAACTCTTGGACGCCATATATAGGACTAACTTACATTTCGACCGTTACGTTCAACTTGGGTTTAGTTAGTCTAGTACCCGCATAGGGAGGAAGGGCGCCAGTGTGCCGCGTCGATACACTAGGCACGTATCGCCACATGCGAGACGCCACAGTAGCGTTTGATATTAAGTTACTATTTCTTTTAATTTTGAAACCAGGATTTTTGTTTTTTAATATTTCCTAAACTGTACTAGTTATATTTCAAAACTAACTAGAAAAGATATATAGATAGTCGTTTACTTGTGAACTATAAGCACGTTTTGACATAACCTATAATATTTCGGAAGTGATATAAAAAAAGAAGCATTGATCGTTTAAAAAGACAATAGTAAGAATATTATTAAATTATTCAATACGAATAAGTATAAAGTTGAATTAAAGATATTTAAAAATCGATTATTTTCTATAAATATAATATAATACAAAGTAAGAGGTTGCAATTTACTATTTGAGTGTATCATATCATATATTTGTATTAAAAAAATCTTATAGATTAATTTTTATATTTTGTTAAGAAATGTGTGAAGAGGAATGGAAGCAAAGTTTAAAAGAACGAGCAGAAAGAACGCTTCTTGTTCGTCATACGCATAAAATAAAAAGCATAAATGAAGTAACAGATTTATTTAGCGGTAATTTTACTATTAAATTACCACGACAACCTAGTAAAAATTTTCATGTAGAATTTTCTAATGTTAAAGAAGCATTAGAAAATAAAAAAAATCTTAAAGGTAAAATTGATAATGGAAAACCTATAATTGTTCGAAGAGCTTTGTTTAATACGCTACAAGGCAAAGAAGTTCAAAAGAAAGGAAAAAAAGTTAAAATACCTTCCGTGCAGCCAGATGAAAAATTGTCACAAACGTAAGTATTTATATATCAATTTTTTAAATAATTTAAATATTATTTATCTTGCTTAACGTCTCTTTTAATTATGAAACAGAATATTTGTTGGAAATCTTAAAAGTTCTGTAACGATTCAAGAGATACAAGATGTTTTCCCAGGATGTGTATCTGTTACTTTGTTAAAACCAAATAAAAATAATTTAAGGTAATATAAATCAAGAATTAAGAGCATATTCCAATGTATGAAATTATTTTGCCTTTTTATTATCAATTGTAAGAAACATATTTATATTTTTTTATATTATAATTGTGCTTTTTTATTCAGGAAAGCAAAAGTTAAGATGGAAAGTATACTTCTTGCAGCAGAATACTTACTTAAGAAACGTGAATGGCCATGTTTACATGGAAACAGATTAATACTGAAGCCTGATAGACGAATGAATCATAAGAAAAAGCATCATAAGAAAAAACCATCTTTTATAATTGATAGAATTGGTTTAAGAAATGTAATACCTTCATTGGGGACAGAAAACAGTGTTGTCATATGAAAAAGTAATGATATTAATAATTATATGAATTGTGTATAATATTTTTATTGTTTATCAGCATTTTTATAAAAAAAAAAAATATTATAAATAGTCGTAAATAATATTAATACTGTTTCATATATTTCAGTTATGAAGAAATAATTTATAAAATTATTTTTCTCTGCTTTCTTTTTTTTCTTTTCTTTTTTGTTCAATTAATCAGTTATAATTTCTGTTCATATTATTATTCGAGTTTAGACTTTCTCTTTGGAATTTTAATTTATAAAAAAAGTAAATACAAAAAAAATAAAATATTTCCACAAGTGAGATGAAACTACATCCTAAAAATAAACTAAAAACACCACCTAGGGAAGCTGTAAAATGAATATGTTTGAAATGAATCATTTCGTGAGTGAATAATCAAATAACACTCTGGTATAAAATACGCACAGATAAGATTAATCCATGAAAGTACTAATTCTCTTCGTTGCAATATAGCCGAACTTCTGGCAAACGTAACGTGAAGTATTGTTGCATTTGAAATTCGTGCAGCGGCTTCACTAATAATTCAAAACAATGATACAATTTAAAAATTAATCAATATTAATATTTGTTCAACAATCACGATTTTGAAAGTCTGTATATTGTATATGTAAATACACTTACTAAAATTTTCCTGGAGAGTATTGGATAGCAGACATTGGCAATTTAGTAACCGCGACTTTGTACGATATACTTTCGCAATCAGGAAGGCAATCACATTCTGAGTCTTGCAATGTTAATGTATATGTTTGTAACGTGATACGTGCGAGACATGAAATATGTGTCAAATTACAAATTTTTAAGTCAGTTTTCGTTTCCATGACTGATGCTGAAAATGGCACGCAACCGCAAATTTTTCGCGTTATTGTTTCACGACAATGTGTATAACAATTATCAGCGCGATAACGATGATTTTTCTGGGACGACCAGGCCATGTAACATCCTCTAACAGTTGTCGGTAAATTTAAAATTTCAGAGCTGCTACTCAAAGCAGTGGGATATAATTTAGCTATAATCTCTTGGCCAGAAGAGGCGATAAATTGAAAAGCAGTAGACCCTGGGTATGTATATTTTTCGTGTATTAATATTTTCATACCATCTCCGTGTATTATAGACGATATACGGTCGCGCGGAGGTAAAGGTTTCATAAGAAAAGACATGATATAACGTGACCCAAAATTAAGACTGTAGCTAGGTATAGATTCTTCTTCCTTCGACCTGTAGAAATTAAATAAATCTTCAAAGATTTTTAGTTATTTTAGTTAGTTACGTTTATAATTAGTATTTAAGACGCATCTTTGTTAATGAATTCCTACTTATAGAAGAATTATCTACATATCTATTCGTATTCTATGAACGATTGCGTGGCATGATACGTATAGGAAAGAGCAAACTTCACATCTTAAAGAAAAAGAATAAAAAGTGAAGTGAATAAGTGAGTTTGTTAGTTAATCGATCGAAGAGTCTTACGGTCAAGGTGAACATTTCATAGCTTTTCTTTTACATTTACCATTAGTAATACTATCCGATTGCAATGCAAACGTTTCTCTCGTTAAATTTAATATTACGATTAATATATTACCTTTTTATATTTTTCCGTGGATCTTCGTAATTGAATGCGCAACATATTCCGTATCGTGTGATTATACGATTCAGCATTTTATTGCACGGTATAAATATTCCATTAAGTCGACACATCATCACAAAATCTGTGCAATTTGGACTAATATTTTCAAATAATTCGGACAACGATAATTGATTTGCCGTAAGGATTTGTTGTAATTTATCTAATTCTTCTGGATAATGATTTTTCGGATAAATCGCTTCGCGTAAGTATCTTACACTATGTTCAAAATCATTTTTCGTTAAACCTCGAGGTATATATCTGAGAACATGAATTTAATATGAAAATATTAAATCGTTGTTTCATTTTAAATCGAAAATAATTAATTTAATGGAATACATTTGCTCTTGCGATGATAAGTAAGAAAGCACTTTTTGCATCGCGGCAATATTTCCGTGGCAAAGAGTAACGGCTGGTAATGGGATTGTGTTAGTTGGAACTTGAGGGCTGATTATCAAAGTACTCATATTTGCTAACTGATGACGATTGTAGAATAACATTGCTAACTTTGCGGATGCCAAGAAAGATAATATTACGATGATGATCCATAATATCCTATAATAGTGATCGTACGAATTAGACAATTTAAATAGAAAAACTAAACAGTTAAAAAGAAATAAATAATCAAAATTAAACGATTATTACCTTACAGTAATTGATTTAGAATGAGTTGTATGTTTTATTCCATGTATCGTAGATTCGATCGAGAATTCGTTGTACACTTCGATCAAAGTATGCCATATTTTCTTAATTGTATTTGCCAGCATAATCTCCCTCTACTATTTATTTAAAAAATGTTTATTTTCTTTCGCATGAAAAACGCGTTCGAACTGAAATTCTCATTTCAAGTTTATGCATCGTTGGCATATTCAAGTTCGATCAATGATACCTCGGTTTCATTGTAATTTCGATCAATCTAGGCCCCTTTATCACGGTTCGACATCAATTTGAAACGCGTCAGGCCATGCATTATTGATGCCGATATAACGTCATTACGTACTTATTTTTTATCCTGCAAAATATGTTTCACAAAAATTCACAATGTCTAGTTGAATTTTTACTAATAATTTTATACTTTATATATTCGTTGATTTTCATTTTATTCGCGATACAAGATTTAATTGTATCGTTTATGATTTATTGTTAATTTTTAAGTGAATTATTACTATTTATACCTAATAATGTATGTTTTGTTTTGTTTGCTTTTCTTTTAAAAATTGTTTGTTGTTTTGAATTTGAAATTCCCACGTAATATCAATAAATTTGATTGTTTTTTCAAATCGTCATCTGTTGGTAAAAAAATGATAAATATTTATAAAACTTTTAGTATTACTGGTAGATGGCAGGAGAAACATTCGGTGAGTAGTAAAACTGCTCTGATGGTAACACCAAAGAATACAGAGTTCTGATACTGCATAAATGAGATTCATCTCAGTTATTACCTTGACCACCAGAGGGCGATAGTAGGTACTTAACACGATGACAGTACAGTATTATCAAAAAATGTTACAATACTATCAAAGACTACAGTATTTTATTTGTTAATACCTACTGGTGGTCACGGTAATAACTAAAATGAATTTGTATAGGAAAAAAGTGAACTTGTGAGCCTTTCTATGTACTTTTCTGTATTCTTTGGTATAACCGATTAGGCAATTTACTAGTCTGATTGTCTAAACGTCATTGCATTATTCGCGATGCTCTCGAAGCGATTTATTATTTAATGCATCGCGTGCAATGATCTCTTGCAATTGGAGGCGTTTTCAATTCGATATAATGCGTTTGTGTCGATCTCAAAGGAAAAAGTTAAGAAGCGTAAAATAGCCGGCGAGTTATATCAATTTTCTCGGGTTCGCGACTAACCTATAAATACTCTTAAAATATCATTATACGATATTGACAATATATTGCTATTTGTACGAATAAAAATCATGATAGTTGATCAATATTTTTTTTGCATTCTTGCATCGGCTAAATCGAGTGTGATAAATGAAGTGTGACCTTTGGAACGTTCCGGTATTATAGGTTAACGACTATTAAAAAACGTTAATTGACCATTTACAAACTATCATTATCTTGAACATTTTATAAATCACTATATAATACGTAAATATGAGATCAAAGTCATTGTCACAAAAGTAACGATTCATATTTTGTCATGAGTTACGCGATTGTTCAGCCCACCGAGATGTTCTTTCTTTTAATCAATCTCGAGGATTTCCTTTGCATAAGCAGTAAGGTAACGATTAATTATTCATTTTATTCTTCTTTGTTATGGCCGTAAAATTAGCATAATTGTCTATCATCGAGCATTTAAAAGATTTTTTTCATTTTCCAGGTTGTTCTCTTATCTTCAAAATCGTATAGTATTATTTCTATGATCTACTTTAGTGTACTGTCACATAAACTTAAGTTACATTCTAGTGAAAGTTATTAAAGTTATGATTGTATTAATTTGAGATATGGTTTCTTTTTATATTTTTTCCAGATAGCTTTGGCAATGGGAGTTTATTCATTTAAATGTAATTGTTTAAATATATGAAAATAACACTGCAGATATAAGCAATATGTTGTGATGATCTATTTGTAATCAAGTCCAAGGATATGGCATGTGACAAATAATGCTTGAAGATTATACGTATGATCGTATAACTTGATTTGCATTAAACATGCAAGCCAAGAAACGTTATTTACTATTATTTGTGACATGCGCGTTTCTTGGTTATTGTTATTTCGGTGGTTATCGTTTAAAAAGTGAAAAATGGACAGGCAGATCTCAGTTGCCTTACGAGCAATTGCCTTCGTATTTAAGTCTGAATGAAGAATTCTACGACAAAGATTTGAGAATATCAAATAGAAACTTACCTGTATCGCAGCGTGCAAGGAAGTGCCGTATGGAAACTTGCTTCGATTTTACAAAGTGCAAGCAAGGATTTACAGTTTATGTGTATCCAATTGATGATATTATAAGTCCATTATACCAAAAAATACTAAATGTTATAACAGAGTCAAGATATTATACATCTGATCCAACAAGAGCGTGTATATTTGTTCTGGCCTTGGACACATTAGATAGGGATCCATTATCAAGTGAATTTGTGCATAATCTACCTTCTAAACTATTACGTTTACCACATTGGAATAATGGAAGAAATCATTTAATATTCAATTTGTATTCTGGTACATGGCCAGATTATGCGGAGGAGTCTCTTGCATTTGATTTAGGATACGCTATGCTTGCTAAAGCAAGTATGTCCATATTTAGACTTAGACCAAATTTTGATGTATCTATACCGCTATTTGGAAAACAACACCCTGAACGTGGCGGGGAACCTGGTCAAGCATTAGAAAATAATTTTCCTAGTAATAAAAAATACGTGGCAGCTTTTAAAGGTAAAAGATATGTACATGGCATTGGTTCGGAAACTAGAAATGCTCTTTATCATTTACATAATGGTAAAGATTTGGTATTTGTAACTACTTGTCGTCATGGCAAAGCTTGGAGAGAATTACAAGATGAACACTGTCAACAAGATAATCAAGAATATGATACGTGAGTGTAAGATTAATCAAATACATTTTTATTCAATATTTCTATTATTAATATGAATTATTTTATTTTGTAGATACGATTATGAGATTTTATTAATGAACTCTACATTTTGTCTTGTCCCTCGTGGACGAAGGCTCGGCAGCTTTCGATTTTTAGAAGCTTTAAGAGCAGGTTGTATACCAGTTATTTTAAGTAATGGTTGGGCATTGCCATTTCATGAACGTATCGATTGGACTCAGGCTGTTATATTTTCCGATGAACGATTGTTGCTTCAAGTAAATATTTTTAATTGATGAAACAAAATAAAACATTCATTTAACTACAATTATTTAATATATATATATATATGTATATGTTTTCATAGATTCCAGATATAGTACGTTCTGTATCGAATATGAAGATTCTTAAGTTACGACAGCAAACACAATTTTTATGGGAACGATATTTTTCATCTATAGAAAAAATTATATTTACGGTATTTGAGGTAAGGAGAGATTTTGATTTCAAATATATTGATAGTGTTATATAAGAGTTATATAATAATTAATATTATAGAATATTCGTGAACGTTTACCATGGGAAGGCACAAGAGAAGGGATTATTTGGAATACTAGTCCTGGAGCTTTAGCAATATTACCACAATTTGCAGATAGTCAACAAGAACTTCCATTCTCAAACAGCAATCCCGGTAACACATTTACTGCCATCATATATTCTCAATTGGGATCTACTGCTGTTCTATATCGTCTGCTTAAAAGTCTTGCGAAAAGTAAATACTTAGATAAGGTCAGTATTAAATACATTACACATCAATTGTTTAGATTTCATTTTAATATTCAAATGAATTGATTTTTCTTCGAAGATTATTCTAATGTGGAATTCGGACATTTCGCTTCCAAGAAGACCACGTTGGCAAGGGATCAAAGCATCAATAAGTATAGTTTCTGTGGATGGTATTTCTCAACGTTTTTATCCACATCCACTAATCAAAACCAGTGCCATATTATCGCTAGATGAAGATGCCACACTCAATACTGACGAAATTGATTTTGCTTTCATGGTTTGGCGTTCATTTCCTGATCGAATAATAGGCTATCCAGCAAGATCACATTATTGGGATGATTCAAAGGTAGACATCTTAAATTATTTTCTTCATGGTTATCACTTTTAGAATATATTTTATTAATATATATATCTATATATATATATACATATGTATTTGATTAAATGAAAGCGATCATGGGGTTATACGAGTAAATGGACAAACGATTACAGTATCATTCTAACTGGTGCTGCTTTTTATCATCGTTATTATAACACATTGTATACTGAATTATTAAGTTCGACTCTCCATAAGACGGTGGAACAGTCGCAGAATTGCGAAGATATTTTAATGAATTTTTTAGTGAGTCATGTTACTCGAAGACCACCCATCAAAGTAACTCAACGGAAATTGTATAAAGATACTATGATTGCTGGAATTAGGTAAGTATTTATTTATATGTATATTAAATGATTAGTTTACGAATTAACGTATCTTACGTTTTAACGGTAACAAATATTAGGTGGTTCGGAAAGTCGTTTCGTTTTTTGTTGACGCATTAATGGCATTAATTGATGCAAACCGACAAATAGTAACGCGTGAGGTCGATGAGAGGTTAAATTTATCAAATTCAACTATTTATGACCACTTGAAAGGTTTAGGTTTAATCTCGAAGCAAAAATTATCTTCATTTTTAAAAAAAAAAAAAAAAAAAAAAACGAAACGACTTTTCGAACCACCTAATATATATCTAATTATATACAAGGTGATAACCACAAATAGAAATCAATACTTAAATTTAACTTTTAGTATCTAGTAATGTTTCAATTCGTGATAACACATCGTTCTTTTTATTACCTTGTATGTAAATCTATCTTTGAACGAATATTTCTATGAATGAATTATTATTTTTTTTTTTTCAAAAATCAGATCACCGTGGAACGATCCTGATCATTTTATACAGCGGCAAACATGCATGAATACATTCGTAGCTGTTTTTGGATATATGCCATTATTACGATCCAACATGAGACTTGATCCAGTCCTGTTCAAAGATTCTGTAAGCAACATGCGTAAGAAGTATAGACAAATTGAATTAGTTAGTAATTAGAGTTATATACGAGATTCGAACAATTATGTAATTCATTTCATTCTTATAATATGCGTCGAAAAGTATTATAGACTGCAACCAGAAAAAAAAAATCAATCGCGCAATGTTCAGCAATAACATTCGATCAAAACAGGGCATCCATCGATCGATCGATCATTCCTTCTTGACAAAGGTGTTAAAAAGAAACCTATTTTCATCCATGTTCTTTCCTGCTATTGCAAATAAGAAGCCATTAATTAAATTCGTGAACGTACACAGGAACAATTTTTCAAATCATTACAAATCTTTATGTTATGTCAATGTTGTCGGGCAACAAATCAAATAACGTTTCATTCTTTTTTTTTAGAATGAACAATGTTACCTTGTACTTTGTCTACTTTTCCTTTTTTATTATTTTTTTTTTTTTAAAAGCAACACATTTTTTAATTCAATATTCGTAATGATACAATTTAATATTCAATCTGGTGGTAGGATATCTCGTCCTATTGCGATATTGCACTCTGTTTTATGTACATATATATAAATCATATCGTAATCGTTAATAAACAAACGGTCTGTCTAATATTTTCATTCTTGAAAAAAAAAAAAAACCAGTCTTCGAGATCAATGCAAATACTTGATTATCTTTATAACGATTAATAAGCTTTAGTTTCGAAAAGAATAAAGAAAAGAAAAGTGTGGGGTATTTATTGATGATCATTGATTTATCAATTGCGAATTTTTCGATTGATATAATACAGTGGAAGACAAAAATATTCGTAAAGTATATGAAAAAAAGTAAATCGGTATCACATTTATTTTATATATTTACTATACGAAAACTTTTGTCCCTTCACTGTATAATATGCACGTCGTTATTAATATTTAATCCTTTAAATAGCATGAAAATTATCGTTAATGTAATAATAATGAGAAAAAAAAATGTTATAGAATATATTTTATTGTTTTGTTAACGATTAAGGAAAAAAAAACGCTTTTCTTTACTTTTATGTACTAATTTTTTTTTTTATTTTTTTTTTTTTATTTTTTTTAAATAAACGGGGGAATATATATATATCGAGCTGGTTTGTTTCTACGATACTCTTAAAAAAAAAAAAAAAAAAAAAAAAAAAAAAAAAACTTTTCAATGTGCGATCATCGTTGTTTTACATTTAATTGTATATTTCTAATTATACTTAAACTAACAGCCAAGAAAAATTTACAGGAACAATTTGAAAAAAAAAAAAAATGATATTTGGTAAAAATGTTTTTTGCAATCACGTCTAGTCGTTTACACCCGATTCAATCAACGAGGACAAAGGAACGTATAATTATACATCTGGTACAATAAAATACAATAAAATAAAAGAAAAGATCAATATAATACAATATTTGAAAGATTATGTACAGTTTGCTGGGAAAGAATCGGATTTATACACGATGTGTTCATGATTATCGCGTGATATATATCGAAGATACAACTTGGTTTCTTTAAGTAGGATTTTCTATGTAAACTGTTATCCGTAAAAAAAAAAAAATAATAATATTAGTGCTTTTATATGGTTGAAAGAAATAAAACTTTTTTTACATGGACAAAAAAAAAGCATTATTCACGCATTTTGTTTTTCTCTCTTCTGATTAGCTGATTAGATGAAGAGAACAAATAGAAAGATAAAGAAGAAAAGGGGGGTCGTATAATTGAAATCCCTTGAATAATTTGAGTAAGTATTACAAAATGATCACTTTTTTTCTTTCTCGAGCAAGGTCGTTTCGGGGTTGGGACAAGGAAGGAAAGAAGAAGGGCGTTCGTTGTGGAGGTGAGTGGTGGAGAGATGGTTTTTCTTGTGGGGGGTCTCATGATGGTAAAAGAGGGGTCTCCCGATACTCAGGCCCCCCCAAGACTCCCTTCTTTCTTACCGCTTTGCTAGAAAGGTGACTATGCCAAGAAGACAGGAGGTATCGAGCACGCCTCGCGTATACCCAGTCACCTTTCTCTCTTCGTGACCGTAGCATATGTTTTGCGAACGTCGATGGCGCTCTCGTGGCTTTGAAAACGGCGCTATCATTAACGCTAGTCCATCAACACCATCATCGTTCCAAAATCGTAAGCTAAGCTTACGTTCATTTTTTTTTCCTACCCTCGAAAAAGAGTTTTTCTATTTTTTGTTTTGTTTTGTTTCTTTACGGAAATAGCATTTCGAGTTCGTATTTTTTCATCTAATTTATAATATATCTTTTGCTTTTGAACATTTAGCGCTTTTGCAAGAGCGTCAACGTTAATTCATTTTCTTTTCTTTTCTTTTCTTTTTTTTTTTTTTTCTAGAGGATTTCATTAATCTTATTCGTTTCTTCTTCACCTTTAATTTTTATTATCCATTTCATTTTTTCCTTCTGTTTTTTTTTTAAGTATCCTCAAAATTCGTGTGCTATAATAAGAACAAATTAATTAAATATAATAAATCTTTTCGCGTGTGTGTCACACTCACGCATCTATATATACGATTAAGAACGTTGGCTTTTATTCGTTATATAGACGTGATAATATTTCAATTTTTTTTCTCTATTTATCGTTCGCGGTTTGACAGATATATAGAGAATTTTGATTATAACGTTGAAAAATAATATTCGAGAAGATGATACTCTTCAGTGGTCTTTTGCTCTTCCTTGCTGTATTCTCGAGAGTTGGTAAGTTACAATGTATATTATCATTTATCTAATAGTTTTTAAATTGTCTTTTGTTTTTATCTCATATATTATCTCACATCAAATCTTATCAGATTAATTTATATATACATCTATATATTTGTTGTTGTGTTGTTTTCGATACGATATGAAAGTAAAGATCTGTTTTTAACAATTTTCTAAGTAATTTATTTTTAATTCGTTTTATATTTAACGGTACGCTAAACTCTTGGTAGGTAAATTATGCTCGAAGGACGTTAAGAGAACGGCGAACGTTCGTACGTACATACATACATACATACATACATACATACGTGTCTGTGTGTGTGTAATTATATTCATATTGCAAATAAAAACATTAGAGGATGTATAAGAGTACGGTATATAAATGTAACAAAATAAAAATAAAAAAATGGTTATTATATATTAGAAAAATAAAAAGGAAGTTCATTTAAAAAGGAAACGTCATCGTTAGTATGATGATTAGAAAATTCAAGGCGGTGAACTCGAAAGGATAGCAATCGAGAAAGCACATAGTAATCTACCAACTGACTACTACCCTGTAAAGAACCATTAAACTATAGCGTTAGCTATACCGGTCGATTCGCGATCTTTCACTGGTTCAAGCTTTACACGTGAAAATGTCAGTTTACGTAATGACCGCGCCGTTGGGTATCTGGCACACGCGGAAATCAACCATGGCAAATGCCCCCCGAGGGTTAATTTGTGTCACTAGAGTCAACACTTTTGAAAATATATTTTTCTTTTTTATTTCACACTCTTAATTGGTATTTTTAAATCATGACAAATTTCAAAACACAAAGTTTCCAAAAAATGGTTCATATTAGGCATGTTTAGAACATGGGAAGGAAGGGGTTGAATCTGAAATTATTGTAAATTAAAAAAAACTATAAAAATCTCAAAATTCGTCTTTCTTTCTTCATATTCTAAACACAGCTAATTAGCACACATTTTATAGATTGACCGAAACTCCATCGCAAATTTCAAAACACAAAGTTTCCAAAAAATGGTTCATACTAGGTATGTTTAGAACATGGGAAGGAAGGGGTTGAATCTGAAGTTATTGTAAGTTAAAAAAAACTATAAAGATCTCAAAATTCGTCTTTCTTTCTTCATATTCTAAGCACAGCTAATTAGCACACATTTTATAGATTGACCGAAACTCACCAGGCATTCTATAGAATGTCCTATTCGATCGTCAGTAACATATGAGCCGTTTATTTTGATAATGACTTAAATCTATTTTTTTTTTTTGTATATTTTTTCAGTCAAATGTTTTTTACTATAAATTAATTTCCAGTTAGTAGATATATTATTAAGTCTCATATATATAATTTGAAAAATATCGTATCACGTCACTGTGACTGATTGATCGATTGACATGACATTTAACTTGCTAAGTCAATCAATTTTTTGTATCTTCTTCTTCTTCTACTTTTTGTTTTATTTCTTTCATTCGTAAGATTAGTAAAGATAGTTTTGATTTATTAGTATTAAATAGCAATTGGAATCTATGGAGAGGGGTTGGTTAGACGTTTACTATTGCGACGTTAAAATCGAATCTAATTGAGACGATCTCTTTCTTAGAAAGGGTTGCCTAAGCTCGAGTATAATACAATCGGAAACACCTTGAATGGTATCGAAGCGAATCAGTTTTGATCGCGAGAGAAAAAGAGAGGAAAAGAGGGAGGAAAAGAGGGAGGAAAAGAGCGGGGGGGGAGAGGGAAGGTATAAGTTTCGCCTTTAGATTAAAACAAAGGGAAATGTTAACGGCCATGTTGTAGCACATTTCGGTAACACGCTAGATGAGTTTGGTGTGGAAACGTTGCTTTTACGAAATACTCCTACCTAGGCCGGAGGTAATCCTAAACAACGTTCTTGTCCGACTATGTAATCGAGTTGTCGTCTTTTTTTTTTTAATGAAATAATGGAACCCCATTCCCATTTCTTTTCTTTTCTATGTTTTCTTTATTGGTCAACTACGATCAATGATCTGCTAATCGATGTGAATTTGTTAAGAAATCAACAACAAAATGGGATAGAAAAAAAGGAAGATGAGAAATCATTGTTTCAACTTAACCTGAACCTAACTAATGTTAATCTAACGTTAATTAACAGAGATTAAATCTTGAGATATAGAAATACGATAGGATTACGTTCTAATCTTTGAGATACACGATTAGATACGTCTATTCAAACTAACGAATAAATATCAAACGGATATGACGGTTGCATCAAATTTATCTGAGCTGTAACTTGTAATGTTAGATAAATTAAAAATATAAATATATCATACTGTTTTTTTTTTTTTTTTTAAATCGTTTTATTCATTAGAACAATATTTTATTTTAACGTGAATATATTTTAATATAGATATATATGTGTATATGTACAAGTTTTACATCTAAGGTTTCCATAGATAGGAATTCCCTTCGTGAACTATGGGAAAAATTCTTTTTTGAAGTAGAATTATATTCCCGATCTGGTTTCGAGCGTAGGTGGAAATGTGCATATATATATATATATATGTGGTGAACGGTATCGTTTTTAGCTATCGCGGATAATTTACAGTCTTGTTCGAATTTACGTCTTGTAATTTATCCGTCAGGATAATGTATCCTTTCAAGCGGAACGCGTTCGGAACGAATCGTGAACTCTTGGCACGCGGCATCAAGAATATCCTTAGATAAGGATAGTAAATTTTACCTAAGGGCAAGATCAAGGGCCACGTACGTAGATATCTACTTTTTTTTTAAGGATCGATATATTCTTCCGTTTATAGTTATTATTATTATTATTATTATTATTATTATTGTTATTTTTTCTATTCATAAAATAAAGATGTTATTTTAACGAGAAGCGGTAAGATTGTAATCTACAAAAAAACAAATAGATAAAAAGATAAAAAGATTTTTGTAATATTACTTTGAGAAGGTAAGAAATAATAATAATAATAATAATAATAATAATAATAATAATAATAATAATAATAATATGTTATTTTTTCGATTTACGTACAAAGTAGAAGTTTGCACGCTCATAGCTCGAATAAAACGTTGATGTCCTTCTTCCAGGATCTCATCTGCACCCACACTGTATCCTTATTTCTTTATTTCTTTCTCTCTCTCTCTCTTTCATTCTTGGCAATTACGAGGAGAATTTACAACAGCGTACATAAGCCGTAAGGAGGGGTCTGAGCAGAACTCTTGCCTATTATATTCTCTTGGTCGTGTTATACATCGGTGTCCGGCTCCATGGGGTTCGCCCCTTTGCAATTACGAGAGAGAATTTACCTCGGGCAAATGCACCGATATCGCTTCTTCGACTTCTCTTCTCTCTCTCTCTCTCTCTCTCTCTCTTATGTTAGTTGTTACTGCGAAAATAGTCTTTGTGATTGCTTCTTCAAAAATGCATCTTTTTTTTTTACTAGCATTCCTGTATATTAAATTTATGTTTATTTATTTTTTTTTCTTTTTTATGTCTTTTTTATGTGTTTTATTTTATTACAGGATAAAATACTATGTTGTTTTTTTTTTTTTATATAATACATTTATTTGTTCGTTTATTGGATTATTATCTTGTTTCCTATTTATTCTACATAATGTATATGTAAAAACAAGTTTTTTTTGAAGATTTTTCAGAAATCTTATAACTATAACTTTTACTAAAATATTTAAAACGTCCTTGAAACTCGTAACTATGGTTACATCGTACTTTCCAGTTTTTTTTTTTAAACGTATTCCATTGTAAGATTGAGAAATCTTTTTACTCGTAACAATATAACATTTAATTTGATAAAATACGTTTAGTAGTAGTAGTAATAGTTCTGCTTTCGTTTAGATTTTATTTGAAAGAAAGGAATACGAGTTAACTTATTACGATTCATTACGTAAATTATTAGATTTATTTTCTTCGATTACACACAAAGAGAGAGAGAGAGAGAGAGAGAGAGAGAGAGAGAGAGAGAGAGAGAGACGCTTATCAAATGTCAGACGTCGATTATTCTTCTCGTTCGATTACAAACGACAACCTAAGAAAGTAACACGTAGCATCGTCGTTACCTAATATGGTTGCTAGATATTCTAATCTTGTCGTACGTGCCTTTCAATGTTAGTTTAAAAGGATTAGAAAACGAATCGTTTAAGTTTCCTTTATGATATTACATTTATATATATATATATTTTTTTTTTCAAGTTAATTCTCTTCAAAAGAATTTGATATATTTTAAGTGTCATTAAATCTAATTTGTGCATGAGTACTCACAAGAGATTATAATTATGATACTATTTCATTGTCACTAAAATGATTGCTCTCTTAACGAGCTCTTTTATTTATTTTTTTTATTCTTTATTTGAATTACGGTGAGAGCCTACTATTATCAAAGTGAAAGTAACAAAAAAATGTTTAAGTATATATATATATATATATATATATATATATTTCATATTATATACACACATTTTTTCCCATCTTATAATTGCCAATTAGATTTTAATTAAATTCATAAAGTATTTTATGTATAAATATATATAATAATAATTCAGTGTCACAATGTTTGTCCACTAATAACTATGAAACTAATCAACAGATCTTAAAGAAATTTTCTTGATTTTGTGTGATTTGTTTCAACTTAGAATATAGGATAATTTTCATCGCGAATTTATAAATATATTATTTATAAATACTATTAATATAATATTATAAATATAAATATTATTAATATAATATAAATACTATTAATAGAATATTTATAAATAAATATATTATTTATAAATACGTAAATATAGTATATTTGTTTATATATATATATATATATATATATGTATACTTAAATTATATACTAAAAATTATAACTAATTNTATTAATAGAATATTTATAAATAAATATATTATTTATAAATACGTAAATATAGTATATTTGTTTATATATATATATATATATATATATGTATACTATTTATATATACTAAAATATAGTATAT